ATCCTTCTAGTTTATCCTCTATTATTATTCGGATCGTCATTTCTAGACTATCCTCTATTACTATACGGACCGCTATTCCCTACTCTATTCACTATACTATTCTCTAATCAGATCAATACGGTGGTTTCAAGCGAGTATTATTATATATTAGTGCGAGTGTTATTAGAAGGCGTCTGACACCAGTATTGTTGAACGGCATTACTATAGTCGTATCTGCGATTACAAAGTCTCTACTACAACAAGCATTACGAAAGTGGCAACGATATTCGTTGGCATTACAAAAGTATTCGTTGCCATCAGAAAAATCCTCAAAACACATATATAAAAAAAAAAAAAATCCTTAAATTTAAAATTCTCAACGTCACTCATTTGTACGCATTCGTTGTCATATATATATATATATATATATATATATATATATATATATATATATGTGTGTGTGTGTGTGTGTGTGTGTGTGTGTGTGTGTGTGTGTGTATTTTAATCATTTCACTCCAATAAAGGCATGAATGCCACTAGTGTGCAGGGGGATTACAGGGAGTGAAAGTGAAAAAGAAGCCTGAGAAGACAAAAGGTGAATGGGATTCAAGAAGACAGAAGATGGCAATTGACGTTGCATTTAAATTTTTGAAGATATTATTTATCAGGAAATGAAGTAAACGGAAGGGAGTTCCACAGATGAAAAGAAACCGCTGAAGTAGAAGTAGTGGTTTTCATTTAGCTATTTCAACAGTAAAAGGGTGGGACCTAGGCGCCAATCTAGTAGGACGTTTAAATTCATGTAGTCGCGGCACCAGGGGAAAAGATTTCCAGAGCAGTTGCCATAAAAATATTTGTAGAAAAGCAAGAGGGAAGCCACGTTACGCCGGTCAGAAAATTGACTGAAGCCGAGATGCCTGGTTAAGATCGATTACTTTACAGATTTGGTTTGCCAAGAATCGTGAAATGTTCAGTAGGAGCACCAGACCAGATATGTCAACAATATTCAATACCTATATATATATATATATATATATATATATATATATATATATGTGTGTGTGTGTGTGTGTGTGTGTGTGTGTAGTAATCCGTTGGTATATAATCCATGTGAATCCTATTAACACAAATTAAAATATTAAATATTAAAACTGATTCACACATAGAGCTCAATGTTTTTTTTTTAATAAACAGAGCAATATACCTCATACAATCGGAATTAAGATACCATTATATAAGGTTAGCAATTGTCTTGCATAATGGTATCTATCTATCGTCTGCCCATTATCTATCTATCTATCTATACATATATATATATATATATATATATATATATATATATAATAATATTATACATATATATATATATGATTATTTATTTAAAAATTATAACATAAATATGTTATAAAATCACTACCAACCTCTGGTGTCTTATCAAGTGATGATGTTGAATGTAGATTTTAGAACCTCTACAAACTACATTCAACATCATCACTTTATAAGATACCAAGGGTGTTGAAACAAAATGGCTATTTTTGTAGTGATTTTATAACATATTTATGCTATAATTTTTAAATAAATAATTATATTCGCTCTACTCTGTATTGAGCACTCTTATAAGAATAGTAATTGTTGTTGATTGGAATTTATTCCGTATATACCAATCATACACTTGGGTATATATATATATATATATATATATATATATATATATATATATATATATATATATATATATATATATAAATATAAAATGTCTGGTTTTTTGTAAGTGTAACTAACTATTCTCTGATATTTGTGCTTCTCCATCACCTGTAGAGCCAAACTATTATGATGTAACTATTCTTTATCTTAGAGTTTCTGGGAGTAACTGAACAATCTTGTGTGATCATTAGATGAACAAAGCCAAGAACGCTAAAACCCTCGTTCACGATGATTTCTGATTTTGTGCTTTCAAAACCATCAGCAAATATTCTACCAACTTTCACTCACAAGACTTGGATCTACTCTTGATATGTCTTTGAGGCTCTTGAAACCTTTCTGACAAATCGGCCATAAATTTGCATTTAGTTCTTAAGTGTTTAGTGACAATTCGTCAGCCACAGATTGAGGACTAGTCGTTGTAAAATTTAAATATTGATATTTATAACCTATTTTTAAGATAATGGAACAGTCAGGGCATTATTTAGGGAGCTACTTCCATGATTGTCGATCCCCTTTATTCTCTCCAACATCTCTGGGGTAATCATAATTTCCTCCTCTCCTTCTTCGCTATCAGTCTCTAACGCTTCAGGTTCAACCAACGTTGCCCTTCTCATTCCTCTAGTCGCTCTCATCTCCTTAGCTCCTTCCCATTCATCTAGCTCTGCCAATTTTATATCGTTAGCATCTACCCGTTTTATTTGACCCCAAATTATATAAGTAACAGGTCCCTTCTGTTCCACTATTCTATAAAAAGGAATCCATCTCCGATCCAATTTACCTTCCCTCAGGTGTACTTTATAATATACTGGATCACCCAAAAATTTGCGGTCCCTTCATTAAGTTAGTTCACCCCACCCATCTCGTGACATATTTTTAGATGAGTCCCAAATCCTCAAGATTTATTGCTAAAAAATACAGCAATTGTGGCAAAATGATTTTCTAAGCATAGCTTAGACGTGGCACAAGGCCGAAAGTATTAGGCACCCAGTGAGGATCGAACTCACTACTCAGTCGTAACTGTTTTAGCGAGACAAGCTTGCGAACCATTACACCACCTTGGGGTGCCCAAATGATTTTCTAAGCGTAGCTTAGATGTGGCACAAGGCCGAAAGTATTAGGCACTCAGTGAGAATTAATAGCACATATGTAGATCTGGCATTGGGTGTAGTGCATTTACTTATGAAAAAAAATATATTCGTAAAAATATAGATTAAATACAAAAAAAAAAACAAAAAAAAAACAAAACAAATAGATAAAAACTATATATCGCTCATTCTATTTTTCTCACTCTCCATATATATATATATATATATATATATATATATATATATATATATATATATATATAATTAGATATTTAAAATTATAACATAAATATGTGATAAAATCACTACAAAAATAGCCATTTTGTTTCAACACCTCTTGTATCTTATCAAGTGATGATGTTTAATGTATATAATAAAATCTACATTCAACATCATCACTTGATAAGACATAAAAAATATTGAAACAAAATGGCTATTTTTAACGATTTTATAACATATTTATGTTATAATTTTAAATAAATATTATTTTCGCTCTACTCTATATTGAGCACTCTTTTTAAGATTAGTAATTGTTGGTTATTGGAATTTATTCCGTATACACCAATCATACATTGATATATATATATATATATATATATATATATATATATATATATATATATATTTATATATATATTTATTTGTGCACGCTACTACTTATGAACAGGCTTATATTGCAAGTAATTGAAAATAAATTTCTATTTATTGCTGCCGGTAAAATTCTTTAACTTGTCTAAATCGCATTTGGAAAGCAGGCTAAATTTGCTGCCTGCACCAACCATTGAGAAAAATCTATCCAATTAGCCAGCAGAATTTTCAAAGTGCACTTCCCAAATACCCGGGTAAATTTACACCCGCCTGTCTATTAGGAATTATGCCTCATTTAACGTCCGGGTTACGCGACCGATACATCCGACTTCGAGTGAACTGATATCTATTTACAAAATAACGGCCTTGGCGTACACACATCTCATTCGCGGAATTTCTTCCGTCATTTTTTTTCTTCTTAATTTGTAGCCCAGAGTTCATTATTGGTGTGTATCAGAAGTATTTGCCTTTTTTTTTACCATTTCGAGAGTACCTGTACGCATATACGGGGAGATTGTATGAAATTAAAGATTATGAAGATGAGGAGGATATAAAACGAATAAAGCTTTATTTGAAGTGGTTAAGATCGTATGGTTCTGGAAAGTATACACGCGGGAGTCTGTTTCCCAAAGTAGCAGATTTTTTTTTTTTTTGACAAAACTGTCCGAGTGGAAGTTCTTCCTTATAACTGAAATTCAAAGTAAATTCACCCTGGGGCCGTAGCAGGGCGTGTCCTAGCCGTGTGAATTAAGGGAACTAAATGATAATGCTCAGCTGAACATTTGCCAATGAAAATATCGATAGATTTGCTTGCAACCTTGCACCTGTGGGAAAGAGGCTGCAGCATGGAAAATGTCATACATACAAATATATGAATGAGTGTGTAAACACACACACACACACACACACACACACACACACACACACATATATATATATATATATATATATATATATATATATATATATATATATATATATATCTTGTAACTTGCATTCACCCGGGTGGGTTGAGCCGGCTCCAATATTGGAGTTTCATGAGAATTTGGAATTCTGGCGGTCCCCAAACCCGCATGTATAGCACATGAGATTTGATTATAGTGGTGAAGGTTTCGTGCAGGACTATCTACACTTTTTGAAGGGCCGATTACAGGTGCCACAAGGTCCCCAAACAACCCTCCGCAGGTTTTGAATTCAGAGTTTTCCTTCTCCTAGACCAGTTGCCATCCAAGGCTATAGAACCCAGTCTGTCCTGCTATTTATCCATAGCTGGAGGGAGAAGAAGAGGATTCACACCTTTGCCAAGGGTATTAGCACGTAAGTGAACGTAATGGATTCGAATTATATATATATATATATATATATATATATATATATATATATATATATATATATATATATAACCGAATAGGTAAATATAGGTAGGTATTCGAGCATATAAATACTCTGTAGTATAAGAAAAAACAATGCTCAATGTAAAATAAAAGACCTATAGATAGATAGATAGATGAATAGTATTTCGGCAGCAATAATTCTTTCTAACATGTTTTGTTGAATAATATTAAATTCTTCCAATCAAATTTTCTTTTTTTGATAGACAAAACTTGTCGATATTATGCAACCAAGGATTGTGTGTCTTTTAATATGTATTACAGGACGATTAGAACTAATTATCTATCTATCTATCTATCTATCTATCTATCTATCTATCTATCTATCTATCTATCTATCTATGTGTGTATGTGTGGATGTTCCTATCCGTCTACCAACCTATTAGATCATTATATGTCTATAATTCTTTTCATATCTAACTCTCTTTATACATATATTTATCTATATCTATATATATGTTCATACCTGTCTATCAAACTATCAGTCAGTTCATTATCTGTCCCTCTATAACTCTGTTCATATCTATCTATCTATCTATCTATCTATCTATCTATCTTAAGTCTGTTCGTATCTATCTATCTATCTATCTATCTATCTATCTATCTATCTAGCTATCTATCTATCTATCTATCTTAAGTCTGTTCGTATCTATCTATCTATCTATCTATCTATCTATCTATCTATCTATCTATCTATCTATCTGCTAAAACCAATACATGTCCCTCTTCAATGTTCTTTTTATCAACCTACCACCGTCTTTCCCCGCCACACTCGCTTCTTACCGGCAGAATATTTTCCTCCTGTCTTATTCTTTACACCCTCTTCACCGGCACCAAATGACAACTGGACTTGTTGCCCAGACTTCCTTCTTAGACGCTTCGTAAACAAAGCGTCACGGTTATAACTACTGTATGCTTGGTAGGTCAACTGGATATCTTGTTCTGACTCTGACTCAACACACTGTGTGGTGGAACTCGATCCAGTCGGCGATATATTCGTATCTTATTTGGCGTAAAAACGCGCCAAGTCTGGCGTTAATCGGCGAAACAACATCGCCGAAAAAACATCGGCCTGAAGTTACTGGTAATGTAGCAACACCTTCCTTTGAACAGGATCACCTTAAACATCAATTCGTTAATTTAGTGAGTGCAACCCTCACCGAGTGCCCCATTGCAGTGACGCTGCTACGGACGAACACAAGCTTAGTAAAGCTTTTTTATGTACCTCGATGTGAAGCAATGTTTAGCAAATCTAGCAGACACATAAGGGAGAGACTCGTTCCTCATTGGGTTCTCAGTGT